CATTCCCTTTTTTGCTCTGAGACTGTTAATGTTGAACGAGTAAACCTTTTGGAATGGTCATTTGTTTATCAATGCAAAGTTCAAATTTTTAACGTGATGATTAAATGGTTCATGATAATTTAGCTAAATTTAAATTCGGATTAAATAAGCCACTCAACAAACATTTTGTAAACATCACGCGAACTACTTATTGTGAATTCCTCAGTAGTATCTTGATAATTTCGAACGGATTACATTACAAGTGATAAATAGTGCAGGTGCTATGCGGAACACAATAACCTGTTACCAGTTTTTCGACTTACTTCAAGGGTGCGCATTTCTCTGCAATGGTTGAATTTACTTCAGATCTGCACCCAGGTGTAACGGTTTAGCTCTTTCCCGAAAACGGTCTTCTTTATTTTTTGTTAATGATCATTGCCTCGACTTTAGGACAAAAATCACGTTAGTGAAATACAAAGACTAACCAAAGAATCAGACGAGTTGAATCATCGCGTCACCTACCTCCACAAAACGCTGCAGGAACGCGAAGGAAAGTTGGAACAACAGGAGACGGAACTGGTAAATTGAGGCTAGAGTATGGCGGCAGACGGATGTGTTACAATACGACAATAATTTGTCTCATCTGTCAACTATTTCACTTCGAATTATTTATTCAATAGCAATGAAATTGGAGCAGCAAAATGTCTTAGGATGTTGCATAAAAGGGCTCAGGAGTGCAAAATACACAAAACCAAATCCAGTCGTGTACACAAATGGCTGATACACCTGGTAATAAAAGTGTATCCCTCCCTACAGACGTGTTTAATGTTGCCCCTCCCCTGAGCTACTTCTATAAATACTTATTGCTTTGGTGCTAACGCTTTATTAAGAATTTAATGCAGTTGCAGTGGCTCAAGCTTGTGCACACATCGCAGGAAAGTATGCTGTCGAGAAAGTGTCAGCAGACAATTTGAACATTTCTTTAATTTGTAGGCACGGCAAAAGGAGGAGAGCGCCACTGCTAAGAAGAAGACACATGGTCTTGAGATTGAGATGAAGTCTCTGCGTGAGGAGATGACGTACAAAGATGAACGGCTGCGCCAATTGCAAGTTCAACATGTAGGTTCCAAATGCATGCGTTTTTAAAGGGGTGAATGCGGAACCTTCAGGGTTTATCCGGTCTTCGAAATATTCATAACAAGTAAATCGAAAGACATGATTTGAAATGGCTTTTGCTCTCTGACTTGACTACAGGAAAATGTTCATTTATATAAGGAGTGAGGCGAACTAGAAATCGCTTAGACTTTCGGGATTTTTCATAGTGCAGTTAGTTGAGGCTTTCATTTA